ACGCCGTGGGCGCGGCCGTCGGCGCGCGGACGATGGCGCCGTGGCTGAGGCAGAACATGTAGGTCGACACCGGGCTCTCCTCGTCGTCGAAGGACGTTTCGATAGAGGAGTTCCCCAGCGTCACTCGAAAGAAGAGGTCGCCGCTCGGCACGGCGTCTCCGAAGTCGAACACCACCGTGTTGCAGACCTCGACGTCGTCGGGAGCGCAGAGGAACGTGACGAGGGTCGTGTCCGCGTCGTCGAGCGTCCGCAGGACCGCGCCGTTGGTGCCGTCCAGGCCCGCGTACGAGGTCGTCGTCGAGCCCGCCCAGCTCTCGACGTCGGGGCCCCGCTCGTAGGAGAAGAGGCTCGCGTTGCCGGAGCAGTCGGGCGTCGGAAAGGAGCTCGGCGCCGCGGTGGACGGCGCGGGCGACGGCGCGGGCGACGGCGCCGCGGACGGCGCTCCGCTCGGCGAGGGGCTCGACGGCTCGGGGGTGGGGAGCTCCGAGGGCGCGTACGACGGACAGCGCGACGGCGCGTCCGTCGTCGGAGACGCGCTCGGCGCGGAGCAGCCGCAGCTCGCGCGGCAGGCCTCGTGCGCGAGGCGCTCGTCGGCGCCGACGACCTCGCAGCGGCCCGCGGAATAGCCGGCGACCCAGTCGCAGTGCTTCGACGGCGCGTCGCGCTTGTACCACGCGGCGTCGTCGTGGCAGTAGATCGTCGGAGGACGCGTCGGCGTTCTGGACGGGGCGGCCGTCGTCGGCGCGGGCGCGGGCGCCAGCGAGGGCGAAGGCGCTGGGTTCCGCGAGGGTGTCGCGCTGGGAGCATTCGAGGGCATCGCGCTGGGCGCACTCGTCGGCGACGCGCTCGGAAGTGTTGAAGGAGTCGCGCTGGGAAGCGACGATGGCGTCCAGGAGGGCATCGCGCTCGGAGTCGACGACGGAGCGTCGCTCGGGCTCCCCGTCGTCGGCGCCGGCGACGCCGTGGGCGCGGCCGTCGGCGCGCGGACGATGGCGCCGTGGCTGAGGCAGAACATGTAGGTCGACACCGGGCTCTCCTCGTCGTCGAAGGACGTTTCGATAGAGGAGTTCCCCAGCGTCACTCGAAAGAAGAGGTCGCCGCTCGGCACGGCGTCTCCGAAGTCGAACACCACCGTGTTGCAGACCTCGACGTCGTCGGGAGCGCAGAGGAACGTGACGAGGGTCGTGTCCGCGTCGTCGAGCGTCCGCAGGACCGCGCCGTTGGTGCCGTCCAGGCCCGCGTACGAGGTCGTCGTCGAGCCCGCCCAGCTCTCGACGTCGGGGCCCCGCTCGTAGGAGAAGAGGCTCGCGTTGCCGGAGCAGTCGGGCGTCGGAAAGGAGCTCGGCGCCGCGGTGGACGGCGCGGGCGACGGCGCGGGCGACGGCGCCGCGGACGGCGCTCCGCTCGGCGAGGGGCTCGACGGCTCGGGGGTGGGGAGCTCCGAGGGCGCGTACGACGGACAGCGCGACGGCGCGTCCGTCGTCGGAGACGCGCTCGGCGCGGAGCAGCCGCAGCTCGCGCGGCAGGCCTCGTGCGCGAGGCGCTCGTCGGCGCCGACGACCTCGCAGCGGCCCGCGGAATAGCCGGCGACCCAGTCGCAGTGCTTCGACGGCGCGTCGCGCTTGTACCACGCGGCGTCGTCGTGGCAGTAGATCGTCGGAGGACGCGTCGGCGTTCTGGACGGGGCGGCCGTCGTCGGCGCGGGCGCGGGCGCCAGCGAGGGCGAAGGCGCTGGGTCCGCGA